TCCGTGTTAAGTAGTCAGGTGAATTTATCCTGCTTACATACAAACCTGCAGAAGGAAAAGTTTGCTGAATTATTTGTTTAAAATAATACCTACTCTTTTGCATTAAGTAGAGGAGCACATTTAACTAACCTTGGGAATCTTTGGCAATGTAGAATCCGAATTGAATTGCGGTCGACGTGCGTTTCAGTTGAACGAGGTAGCTCCTGTCAGAGAATGTTTGCAGTAGAACGCAGGTGACAGCGCTCTGACCGGCAGTAGCTCCGACCCTATCATAATTCGTTGGTATTTTTGGCGTGCAGAGATTCGACTCTGAAGACCGACGGTTCCGGCTCGGTTTCGTTGTCGAAGTGAAGCTGCTGAAGAAACGCTTATCATTCCGATCTGCGCTTACAGCCCTTCGTATACTTCCCATTTTCTTTTTAATAGATGAAAGCACTTTGGCACCACTGCTGCGTCTACAATTTAAATGAGCCAAAATAATTATTAGTCTTTTGGTACTTGCTACAGCATCTCGCGATTTATGAGCGCGTCTGGTGTCGACTGTTCAGACCGGACAGTAACAGTTACGAAGGTGATCATAATTAATCTATGCACATGCTTATGACCTTCCTACTGATAACATGCAGAAATTTGTGGCTCTGTAATTTATACCAGTGATAATTTCCATCCTGGTATGGATGCAAGATTAAAACCCACAAATAACTCACCTAGATCGGTGCGAGGATCGAGGCGGTGGAGCTGAAGAAAAAGACGAGGAACTCACTTAAAAATTTTAACATTGTTGACAAGACAGTTTTCATTACGAAATATATCTTACATCAAGAAAGTTTTTAATGCTAAAACGGGGATCTAAATGGCCATCTACTACCGTCAGTGAATCATACAGTAACTTCCCCAATTCAGATCCCGAGTCCTGGGTCTCTGAACATCGAATTTAACAGCTATCATTGAGCCGCAGAGTGCGTCCTGTCTAATGTAACAGGAGATACCCATTCACGTGCATAAACTTCATTAATCTAGCCAGGGGAAACACAGAGACCCGCACCCGACCGCATAAAAGTGGCCCAATAATAATAACTGTTACCACTACAGCTAGCTGGTTTGCCATCGTCAGACAGCCATGTCCAACCATCATACTGGGAAGATTTTAGTTTCGTGTGCGATGGGTGATTTTTCACACGGTCATTTCATTTCAAAATAACTTCGCGGATAATACGAAAAACCGGAATGCACTTACAAGGTGAGGTTTGTGTTTGGGCAGTTCTCTTTGTAATATTCCAGGCACGCGTCGGCTCCTCGTTAAGAATAGATGCTTGGAAGGCCGGTGGCATCGGAACGGGACAGATGGGAGCCAGGCTGGATGTGGCTACTTCGTCGTTGGGTGGGAAACACCCATCAACCTCTGCCTCCGTCTCCATACTTAGTCGCCGTTTGCAGGCGTACAGGGGATGCGAACGGACACCGGCGCCCATGATGAGGAGACTGGGGAAGGCGTGGGAGGAGGGGGAGGCGCCGCGTGGCTGCGTGAGTTGGATCTCTGCGGTACGTGGGCGTTTCGGGGTGGTGCAACAGGCGCAGCTTAGCGAATCGTTGCAGAGCATGGAGAGCCGGCCAGACACCGCGTCGGCAGCCGTTGTGGCGACGCGTTTCCGTTCCCCCTCCGTTACCACCCCCGTCGCCCAAGGCTGATGCGGTGTGGGTGACGCCGTTTTCAGTTGCATTGCGCTGCGACAAGCGACTGGAAAATGGCGTCGAATATCAGCGTCTGACCGTTGTGAGAGCAGTAGGCGCGAAATTCGCCGCGTAGAAGAGCGTCGGAGAAGTGGGGAGAAGTCAATACTCTCCTGACTGCTGGGATTGGTCGTGGAACTGGAGACGGAGAGTGCATCATCCGAGTCAGTCCAGTAGGTGTGAATGCGACCCAAATTTTCTTTGAAATGTGATCTGAAGCAGATTTCAATGTTGGTTTTGATATGACCCCCAGGTGCAGACAGGTTAAGTTTTCTGCAGTTAGAATGAGCTCAGTGAAAATTCTTATTGTTTGCGGTTGGAATGCTCGTTAAAATTTTCAAACACTTACAGGCAATATGCTATTCTTGAGTGCAAATATACATTTGATAGAAATCTGTAACTTACTCATCACCTGTTGCATGTTCATCGGCAGCGGTACCGATAGGCAATAAAGACTTTGATTTTTCGGGGTCGTTCGGTGTGGGATGTGGTAAAGGCGGTTCATATACTACTTTCAATGGTCCGCGAGCAGCCTTCCGACCTGTCATCATTTTGAAAATTCCTTGTTTCGTGTAAATTCCTGGCCCCGACAGAGCAAGCGCAACCGCTCTTGCAAAAATACTGTCTGATCTCAATTTCCGTATCCAGTATCAATATAAGACGCCCCCTCATCCTCGCCCGAGAGGCGCCAATCAGATTTCCGACGCACGACCATGTCTCTGATTGGCCAGTTTACTTGCCACGAGCTGACTGGGTGGCGCTCACGTGCTACCTGTCCAACCAGGCTTTGCTGTCTTTCTGGTCATCATCCTCATCCTCTCTTCACCGCTTTATTAATACAGCTGTTAATATATTAAATGTAGGCGTTTGCTCTTTTCGACGTAGGCTGTAATAAAGTAAAATATGATATAGCAACTGCATGTATAAAGAAAATGTACTTCCAAACATTCTTCCTCAAGATGGACAAAAAAGTGCTATCCACCTTAAATTTGCGTGAACTTTTTGTGGGAACTTCGGCGACATTTTCCTGTTTTGTACTTAGCACCGTGTATAAAACGCCAACCAGATAAACAGATTGCCTTCCAGAAACGAAGGCATTAAAAATGACTCCACGAGTGCTGTGAAATTCCAACTTCGAAATACACCATTTCTTAAAACAGTGAAGACATGCTTTTTCCAGATGACATAAAACAGGCACTCATGGCGTAATTCGGAGATAACACGGACAATGAAACACTTTTCAACCATCTGCCGGTAAAAGGTCCTAAGAGAGTTGTCTCAAAATTGAAAATTTTCGCCAAAATTGAATCACTTCTACGAACTGTCTTAGAATATGCCAACTTTTTCTTTACAAAATACAGTTATTAAAACGGCGGTAAAATGTCTCAACTAGCGTTGGAGGGACGTTTGTCGATCTGCTTTCAACATATAAATTGTGAATCCTGTTGTGCTGTTGGTCTCAATCTGGAGCCCTTGCACGCAGCCGAAAAGCGGACAGTAATAATGTGGAATAAATTTCAAAACCCCAGATTTGAATAGCCCGGAATTCCGATCGACAAGATATGGAGCCCGTCGCTTTAGAGTAGGACGTTAGGCTTAACGTTCAAAAAACAAATAGTTGGGATTTGAGCTGCTGGTTGCCTGGTTACCTGGGGTTATGGTACGCCTGGCTGGTGACCGTTTGCAAACCAGATATGATCGTGCTATTCTGTTTTGTTTTCGTCGGAAGTTATTCTGTAGAACTCCGAAATATTAGGATATTGAGCCCTCCAATCACTATGGGTACAGTCCGAATAACTAAATGTCGAGATAGAAATGGCATATAATTGTGCACCTGTTATGGTATCAAGTCTAGTCTCATCTGCGGCATTCCAGTCGCAGTACGTGTCGGCATCCTCATTAAGTACGATTAGAACTATCCTTTATATGCCCGTGTACGTCCCGAGATATGATGGAAACTATGCCCGCCTGGTCGTTGTGGCTTCGCAGTAATTAGTTTGGAGTAGATGAGGTAGACACCGTCGTTGGGAATTCGATTATATCGAAACATCCGATTGTTGTAAGATGGCTCATACTGTGATGTCGATTTAGGAGAAGAAAGGGATGCGGGCGTCAAAATAAATAGTGCGCGGAATATGTCTTCAACCGGGAATACTCGTTGATAAATTCAGAAAAGTCATGGGAGGTAAATAAAGCATAAGAGGGAGAATGAAGGAATCAATAAATCGTTCGATTGGGAACTGGAGGATGTGGTGGGAACGTAAACG